TTTTTCCAAAAATAAGAGAAATAAGGATAGAAGTGTTATAGTTCACATAAATGAAGTTGATTAGTAAAGTTTATAATATCAAACATAATTTTATAAATTAAGATATTTTTTCAGTAATACAATCCACATTTTTAGCCCTCCATATCTACCATAGTATAGCTAAAAATGAGAGATGATTACTTATATGCTATGTCATAATCTAGTTGTTAGCATAAAAAAATATTACAAATCTTTTATTTTATAGACTTGCACGAACTTAGATTTCTTTAACTTTTAAATAATCTTTGACGTTGATAGAATTTTTAGTTTTAAAAAAGTATATTTTTATATTTAAAATATAATTTTTAATTAATTTTAAATAAAATAATTTAATAAAAATGACAAATAAGTACACATATCTTTTAGTAAAAAAATTAGCATAATATTTCTTAATCACTTTCTAAAAAAGTGAACTAACTCATCTTTAATCTTAATCTAAACCAACCTTTTATATATATATAAAGGCCTAAAGTCAAAGTAAATTCACGGATAAGATTTAAAACAATGGAGGTATATACAGTAAGTTATGTGGAAGAGATGGTGGATAATGGATAATAGTCTATGTTAACAATGCTACTTCTCATATAAACACAAAGAAAATTCTTATACCATCATGACATTAAATAGTTTAAGACCCGTTTTGATTATTATGTTTTTCAAATTAATATATCCATTTCTTTTGTTTTATTGGTGTTTATAAACTTTTTTCCAGCAGAGAAATGTATAAATTATTTTGATAAAAGATTTTTAAAAGTGACTCTAAAATAATTTTTGTTAAAGAGCTATTTAGCAAGAACCGAGTTAAGTAAGTCAAACAACAAATTAAATACTACATAAAACTCAAAATTTTATTTATGATATAGGGTTTTGTTAAGAAAGAATATTGAAATAAAATAATTAAGAAAGAGTGACATGTGATATGATACTAAATATAAAAAGGGAAGAATAAGATTAATAAATGAGTCAGATTGGTTGAGTGAAGGTGGGCATTGGGCGGCTACGTTTGTCTTAACCTAATTTATTAATGTCATAAAGTAGTCCCTTAGAAAATTCGTGTGGTCGTCTTCATTTCTATTTCTATATTTTAAAAATAAAATAAATTGATATATATATATATATGATATCATTTTAAAATTTAATTTAAACATATTATGGATTTTATATTAGCAAAAAATATTAAATTTTAATAATTAATATAAATATTAATTTTATAAAATATTTTAATCAATTAACAATATAAAATTTGTTAAACTCACAATATATTAAAATTATATTTATTATATATATATATATATATATATATTTCATTTACTACTTTTTATTTTTCTCTCTTTTGTATTCTCAACTCATGTGAGAAATTTGAAAAATTGTTATAATATGTGATAAAAGAAAACATGCTCGTGAGCAAAAATAATTTTTACGTTGTTTTTTTAAATTTTTTGTCGGCAGGAATTGATTGGGGTGAGCATGGACCAACGAATCAATAATAAATAATTAAACGGACTTCGTCATTTTAAAAAAATAATAATATATTTTTTTAAATAGAAAATTTACACTATTAATTAATTAAAATATAATATAAATATTTTAAATTCATTTTTAAAAAATAATATTTTTATTAATATAATAAATTATTATTAAATGACACTATATTAAATGTTATTTATAAAAAATGATTATTAATTTTTTGTCTTGAATATTAAAATTAAAACTATTTTTAAATGTATTAATTGTTCTAATTTATTATAAAAATTATATTAATGAAATACTATTTTTATTTATAAAATTATATATATATATATATATTTAATGCATAATACATTAATTTAATTATTTATATTATTATTATTTCTGAAATAGAATGTAAATATATGACATTAATTTTTTTATTAGTTTTGATGGATTAAATGCTTATTTTTTTATAAATGGATTGAAAATAGTAAAATAATTAATATTATTTATTTATTTTTTAAATTAATTTCAAATCTGCATATTTATACTTTCCACTTTAGTATTTTACCAAAGTCAAAAAAATAAAAAATAAAGTAGCGTATGCTAAATGCATTTTTTGTTTTACTATATTAAAATTAAAATGTAAAATTATATGTAAATAATGCTATTGGAATCCAACGTTGCATTTAAGTTCAATCTATTCAATTACATTATTAAATTCAAAGTGATAAAAAGAAAATTCCTGCATCTTGATTGGACCATGGGGACTGAGCAGTTAATATATATATATATATATATATATATATATATATATATATATATATATATATATATATATATATATATATATATAGTTATTTTTGTCATTTTATACCATGATTGATATCTAAAAGAGAAAATATTTAATAGATGGGCTATGTTAAATATATTTTTTAAAAATTTAAATTATCAATTAATTTTATAAAAAATTGAATCCTTGTTACATTAACCGTTTACTTTTTATTATTATTAATTTACCACTATTTTAATCATTTATGAAGATTAATTTAGTAAAATCTTAATTTTCTTTCAAATTTAATCTATCCTTGAATTATATATTTTTCTTCACTACTTTTTTATTTATTTTTAAATAATATGATAAAATTTTAAATATTTAATGAACTATCTTTATAGGAAACCGGTTAATAACAAAATCTTTAAAAGTCTAATGTGATAAATAAATTAAATCTTTAAAAGATTATTTGATAGTCTGAATCCTTCAAAAAATATTTAATAACACTTTTATCTTTAAAACACAAATCAAACAGTTTTCTTTATCTAAAAACTAAATACAAATGTAAAAAATTAACGTGTTATAATATGATTAATTTTGTGAGAAGATTTTAAGGTTAAAACTTATTTCAAATGAAAAAAAAAAAATGTGTTTGATAAAATAGAGTTGAGATATTAATTAAATGGACTTGTTCCATGGGCCTACAGAGATCCAATGGGCTTATATGATTTTTGTTTGTATTCGTTAAACTTTTAATAATAGTTGGACAAAAAAAGTCTTCTAACAATGATTTTATCATTTTGTTGGAGTTATATTTACATCTTATGTCTTTCTCTCTCTACAGAATAGTGGCAAGAGAGAATCTAAGTTCAATCTTGATAAGTTTTTCACCCATTACAACTTCATTTTGGAGAAGTCTTTTAATATTTTATTTAAAAGAAAAATATTAAATTTGATTATTGAATGTATAATTTATCATTCATGTTATTTCTTGAATGAAAATAAAATTATATATATATATATATATATATATTAATTTTTATGATTAGTGTGTTACATTGTATTTAATGTGTCATGTTTCCATTTTTGTGAAAATTAATTAACAAATTTTAGTTTTTGAAATAAAATAAATGACAAACCACAAATGCAAGAATTAATTTTAATTTTTTTTATATACTAAATTAAAGAACTGTCTATATTTTATGAACTAAAATAAATGATACGTCTCAAATTCATGAACTAATTTAACATTTTTTTTCTAGTAACTAAATTAGAACCTATATTTCAATAACCAAATTAAAATTCTATTCGTTTTTCATCCTTTTATAGCTTTATAGATTTGACCCTTGCCTTAAATTTTATATTTATTTTGATTATTTTTATCATATCAAATTTAATTTCCACCAAACAATAATATTTCTTATTATTTGCCTCATTAACTTTATACATGTGTAAGCAGGGTGACCGAGAAAAAGAAAGAATAGTTATAAGAAGAAATGAAGGAGATTTTGAATTTTTTTTAATATCATTATACATGATAAAAATTTATATAAGGTAAATTTTTGTAAAAAATTATAGCATTTAACACTATTAACACATTAAATAACATTAAATTCTGTATTTTTTAAATAAAAATATACTATATATAATTTTTTTATTTTGTGCATGTTAATTAATTATGAACTTAATTAATAAAAAACATAAAATACATTAAAATAAATACTCTATTATTATTATTATTATTATTATTATTATTATTATTATTATTATGAACTTTTTGACTGATTATACTTTGAAAAACTTAAATTGATTGATTTTCAACAATTTCAATCTTTTTATTTTAAGAATTAAATTAATAAATATTTGTAATTTTAAACAATAAAATATCATATTGCTCATATATGCCATGTATGTGGTCTCAATGCATACCCAAAATTTCTTCGTATTACATTCACTTTAGTCTATCAAATTATAAGCATCCATCGTCTTTGTCTCTAACCTCACAAAAATCTTGCTTTAATTCTCAATTTTACAAAATAACTTTCATTCTAGTTATTTTTAAAATAAATTATGTCTAATTATTTAAAAAAAAAAGTCATAAATGATATGAATTTGCACACAAAATATAAAAATAAAAATATAATAACTAAAAAAGAATAGAACTTGACAATTAAATGCTGCTACTGTTGCAGCTAAAACCACTGCAGATGCTATCAATTTAGCTAGCAGCCACTGTCTCGCATTTTCTTATTGAAAAAAATCGCATCTTCTAATAGGTTTGAGTTCTTTTTGTTTTCAATCTAACCTTGGGCTTTGTTGCAAGTAGAGATTCTGACAAGCATATTATTCAAAGTTTACCAATCTCAACATTTCGCTTCTAGGCTAACAATCTCATAACCTAAGCAAGATGCCTATAGAAATAAGAACTAGAAAATTCCAACAAAGAAAGGGGCAAAAGATGAGAGATTTACCTCATACTAAACAAAAGAGAGGATTAAATAGAGAGGTAAAAAACATGAAGGGACAAACATAAAGTACCAAAGTCAAACAAATATTACTTAAATAACAGTCATCAATAGTCTAAAATCCAGAAAGTACCTCATGCATGGGTCAAATTAAAAACATCACACAACAAACTAAAATGGAGAGTTAGTTCACTCTCAGAATAATAAGTTTTGCTACCATGTGCCATGTTAAGGCACTAGCACAAATTGTTCATAATCAAATTGAAGACCATTTAATTCTTCCTAGCATGGGCCTGATTCTTAAGGGGAATCTGTTGCTGTTTTGGTGGCTGTGGAAGTGCCTCATCCTTCAATGGTGCATTGAGGTCCATAGTTCCCAGCATTTCCAACTCCTTAATAGCAGCAATCACAGTGACTGGACTTCCCTTGTTAAAATGAGGCTTAAGTACTGCAACAGATTGCTTGACTTTTGATTGCTGCAAATTAATGAATATAGGATGAAATTCAACAACTTCAAAAAACATGACAGACAAACAACTATTCAAACCAATGATTATGTTTCAACTTACGAAGTGTTCAAGTTTCCCCCTCAGTCCTCCATTAGCAGCATTTTGAGAAGCACTAGCAGAAGTTGATCCCTAACCCACCGAAAGTGACGCGATAGAACAAGCACATAAGAGCAGTGTATATAAATTTAGAAAGAAAAGGAAAAAGTTAAAACATATTTTTGGTTCTTAATCAAATAAGGTTAAAAAAATTTCAAATGTAATAACCAAACTAAAAAAAACATGTTATATGTAGAGACCAAACACGTTATGGCAATCATTTTTAATTTGGTCTCTCTACTAATCAAACAATGTTACAACAACAATCAACAAGGTTTAATTTGAAAACAAATATAAATATAGGATTAATTTGAAAAAAGAGTGTTACATCAATAATATATTCAAGACTAATAAAAAATCATAAAATCTAAAATTAATAAAGGAATTCAAATATTTAACTTGAAACACAAAAATAAAGTTGTACCTCTCTTCCCCCCCCCCCCCCTCCTTCAAAAAACAACGTAGAATTGAAAACAATTTCAATAAATTTAGAAAGCTAAGACCTGAAATTAATTCCAAAATCTAAAAAAAAAATGTTTTGGGAGCAAAATAACTTTTAAATCACACCAATTTTGATTATAGCACTTGCACCAAGAAAAACGGCTCCCTATCCGACCATAAATAATGCTAAAGAATATGCAAATAAGATATATATATATATATATATATATACATAATCAAACAATAATAAAGAAATTCAAGCACTTCAAGTCAAGAAACAAATATAGCAACTTCAATAAGAATCTGGGGTACAAAAAAGTTAAAGCATACGAAAATTTTTCTACATAAGTTTTAATGGAAGAAGTTGTTCCATTTCAAACCAAAAATGAGGCAAACAAATATACAAAGAAGAATATCAATAAATTTAGTAAGCAAAACAAAAGAGGCAGGACTTATAACAAGAGTAAAGTAATTCAAGTATTTGCCTAAACAAAATAGCAACTTTCTTAAGTTATAAGAAGTGCTTTCAAACATGAACAATATAATCATAAAGTTCCTTAACTGAAAAATTCACTCATTAAATTCCACATTAATGCTAGAAAGTCATCTTCAGTTCCAACATAAAATGCATAAGTTTGCAATATTTCTGATTGTATAGTGCTAACATTTCTATTCTTTGCCCATCCTCAATACATTTTATGGGAGTCATTTGAAAAATTGTGTGGTAGGTGAATTTTTTAATATTTGTTATATTTGCATTCATTTTGGAAACAATATATGGCAAACTGAATTTGAGGAAGGGAAAAATGTGAGGAACTTGAATTGCAAACACATTTCATAAGGATTTTTCGGACCAATAGTTAAAGCAATAATGTGCTACCTGTCCACTTTGCAAGAACAGTGTGACGCTTATGGAAAAATCATCACGTTCAGCAAGATGAAATGACAAATTCAACAATGACTTAGATGAGAAATTTAATTTTGGAGGGAGAGAGAAAGAGACCTAGATGTAGAAAAAGAAAATCAAAGTATGAGGAATGAAGAGAAAGAGTTGAGTATAGGAACGTTATGTTGGGTTGAGTTGACAACATTTGTCATTAGAGGTTAGGGTGTGCTGGAAAGTTATGATCGGTGGTGGTTTGAAGTGAGCCTTTATCAATGTAATGACTTCTTTATTACAATCATTTTACGAGGACGCGGAGAACAAAGATTCTACTTAAAACATCTCTAACCTTTAAGAGTGTATAATAGGTAACCAACTTAAGTGTGAACCTTTTAACTTTTAAATGCTGACCATTGGATTTTACTTGTATGAGATCAACGATAAGAAACTTTTACAAAAACTATGCTAGCTTTTGGAAAATTTATCCTCCTATCCCTTTTGAAAAAGATAGGAAAGATGCTAAAATCCACCTTTAAACATGCATGATCCACGCGTAATACAATAAGCAATGCACTAAAAGACAACAGATTTATATAACCTAATATTTTATTAATGGAAAGCAATTTTTTTCTCTCACTAGTTACTCACATAAAAAATCAAACCATAAATAAGACTTTCAATTTTAAAATTTAAGTAAATATATAAAAAAGAAAAGAGTTATAAAAAGTCAAAGAGGACAAGGTAATAAATAATGTTTATGCAACCAATTTAGTGCATATTGATATACTACAAGTTCTAGCTATTTAGATATCAAAATATTTTAAATCATTTTAAAAAATTATTATCAACAAAATATTTTATTTATAAAATATACCTTAAAGTTGAAAATGAGAAAAACAAATCACATAATAACATAATTGTCAATTCAATAGTAAAAATAAATAAATAAATAAATAAATGTGTATCACCTTCTTTGGACGACCCACAGGCTTTCCAGTGGATTTTCTTGGTTGCATAGGTAATCCATTACCCCCTTTTCCTTGTCTTTGTCCACCACCACCATTGTGGTCATACCTACAACTTTGTCCTTGAGCACCAGCAATAATAGCAGCCATCGTCACTACAGTATTCTTTTTTGGTCGTCCTCGTGGCCTTAAAGCCACGCGAGCAACCACATCACCATTAATTGGTTGAGTTGGCAGTTTAGTTGAATGCATAGGTTCAATTGGATCTAAAGGAATTTGAGTCGCTTGTGAATGATTCTTAGGTGGACGACCTGGGTGTCTCTTGGGCTTGTCAGCAACTCCCTTGACTGACCTAGTCTTAGGAGGAAGATTAAGTGTCTTTTCAGATTGAGACCTAGGCGAACGTTTTTTTTGCGCAGGGGCTACATTTGTTGGGCCAAAATGTTCTTCTCTAGGCACTATACTCTTCTTTGGACGAGTTGGGTATCTCCTTCTGCCCTGGGCTTGCTTGCGCTCATCTGAGAGCCCAAACGTAAGCCACATGGGCTCAACTTTCAATTGCATGTTTTCATCAGGAACCTCAACTTTAGGCTGGGATTGGACCTTACGCGGTCGACCCTTGGGCCTTGAGGCTTGAGAAGGGGCAGCAAAAGTTGTGGTTGCAAGAACATGAGCAGATCTAGAGAGCTTGTAAGATTTCTTGACCATGACAAGAAACCCACTATTCTTCAAACGCTTCAAGTGGTGAGTCAACAAGGTGGAGTGAGTTGATGGCAACTGGTCCTTGTACACTTGATCTATATATTTCCCTATCGCTCTCTTGCTTGACCCATTCTTCTCCTTTAGTGCCTCAATTGCCCTATAAATCATCTACACAACAAATTCAACAATAAAAAAGAAAAAATTAAGAATCTTCTAGAAATACAAAGAGGAAAAATTTATTTTTCTTTTGGTTAATTTGAGATGCAATTCTCAATTTACCTCTTCATATGATGGGCGATTGGAAGGTCGTGCTGAAATAGGAGCAGTAGGCATGTCGTTTGATTTGGTAGGGAAAAGGATGGTGTTTGTGGTTGAAAATGGAACTAGAGCCAGAATAAGTGTCAAAGTCGACAATGAAGAAATAAATAGTGGATCCTTGAAAAGAGAGAGAGAGAGTAGGTAGATTCAAAATTTGAGAAATAAATTTTATTTACAGTATACCGATAGAAATAGAGTAAAATAATTATTATTTATTTGTTACATTAAAGATGAGAGAGAAAGAGAAAGAAAACGGGTTAGGTAATTTTGTAAAATGGGATCGGTGAGTGCATTTGGTAGAAATACGAATTAATAGAAGAAAAGAAAAAATGAAAAGAAATGAATATGCTTCTTCTAGAAAGTGATGAGTTGTTAATGATAGAACGATTGGAATTAGCCTCATCTACACCGTTTATTTTTAACACTTTCCCTTTGCTTGTATTCCTAACATTCACTCCATTTGTCATTTCTCTTTATTTTCCTCAAATTTTTTTATTAATTTTCATTTTGGCTCTTTCTATTCGCCTATTTCCCTTATTTTCTCTATTTTGCTCAAATTAACACACACCTTTTCTACTATCCTATTACCTTTCTTTAAAAAATATCTTTCTTAAAAACTAAATGTGAAAATGGACACTTGTTTATGACTTTTTTGAATTAGTTCCACATAGTATTAGTAAAATAGATCTCATATAGTTGGATGAAGTATCAGTTCTTTGATAGAGTGATGAGTTGTTAATGATAAATAGAAATAGATTTAGTCTCATGTGTATTGTTTATTTTAATCTCTTTGCCTAGATACTTAATATCCACTCCAATTATTGTTTGTCTTTCTCTTCATCTATTATTTTATTAATTTTCATTTTGACTCCCTCTTTTTCATTTTTTCTTCCTTGTTCTCCTTATATTTCACTCAAATTGACATATATCTTTTCTACAATCTTAGTACCTTTTTAATATATATATATATATATATATATATATATATATATATATATATCTTCAAACTTAAATATGAAAATGACACTTATTTATAATTTCTTAATAAAATAGATCTTTAAGTGAATCATGAATGTTTTAAAGATGTTTATTTATCATGAGTGAATTTATTTTTAATGACATCGTTCTTTTTAATTTTAGTTTAAGACCAAAATCAACCCTATACAATTATTTTAATTTCAATTAAAGCTTAGTATTGACCTAACACTACTTATTTTATTTTTTTGTAACTTTTAGTTTAAAGCCACTTATCCATATAACACCATGATGAGATATCAAGTCTAGCAACAAATCAAAGTCTATAACTAAGATGACTTCAATATTAAATTGTGACATTTTAGATAAGAAGATCACTCAAGTCAAGTTGAAACAATCTTCCTCACTGTTAGATTAGGTTCATATTCTAAAATCCTAATATGGTATCAAAGCCTATATCCAAAATAAAAAGAAAAAAAAAAAAAAAAAGAAATAGACCTATGATATTGAAAAAAATATTAAAAAAAGGAGTACAAATTTCAAAAAAAAAAAAAAAAAGACTTGAGATAAACGCAAAAGCTTGAAGTTTTGGTATATTAACAAGAAAAATTTCAAAAAAAAAGAAAGAAATACAAGTTTCAACTAGCCCTAAGCTAGTTGGACTTGAGAGAAGTGCATATCTACCAAATCTAGCAACAAATCAAAAATTATATAAGTAAGATGAGATAGAGAGGTCAGTCAAACTAAGCCCAAACACTCTTTTTTGCTATTGGATTGGGCCCATATTCCAAAATTCTAATATGATATTATAATTTAAATCCAAAATAAAAATGAAGATAAGAAAAAATGTACTTAGACTTGTCACATTGAAAAAAAAATTCAAGAAAAAAAAAGCACAAACCTAAGCAACAGTAACAAAAAAAAAAACTAAGGTAAGGGCCTAAAAATTTGAAGTTACAAGTCCAGGCTAATAAAAAATATTAAAAAAGAAATTCAAGTCTCATTTAGTTCAGAACTAGTTAGACTTGAAAAGGAGTATAGATATATCTAGTGTAATAACAAATTAAGGCTATACAAGTAAGAAAACTTCAATCTAAAGTTGTTTAAAACATTTTTTTGACAAGGAGACTACTGAAATCAAGTTCCAACACTTTCTCTCACTTTTCAATCATATCCATATTCCAAAATCTTAATGCAATATTCTTTCTTACTTTTAGTTTAATATAATATTATATTTTAACTTAGTATAAATTCAAAATCAACTTGACATCAATTTTTTTAAACTATTACTCTCAATAGTCATGTAGGGTAAAAGAAAGAAAAAACATAAAATGTCTATGAGTTTGTTAATTTAATAATAATTAAAAGAAAAGAACTAAGTTTGATCCACTTAATCATTTGTTCTGTTTTATTCTATAAGTTCATTAATTACATGTGATACGGTGCCTACTATGTAATTAATTATGAGATACCAAGAGTGATTAATTCCTAACATATATTTATATGCACTAGAATAAAAACTAATCACGTATGAAAACTGAAATTATTATTAAATGTAAAAATCACATAAAGTCATATAAAATATATACCATAGTCGTAACTATAGATTTAGTTACTCATTATAAAGTAAACAATCAAAATAATTGTAAACAAATCTATAGACATAAAAAAAGAATGCAAACTAGAAAAATTCCTCAAGAGCAAGGGATGAGAAGAGTTCTAATTCTTCAAACCCGTTCTCGATCACTTGTTTGGACTTCAAAGAACTTTCTTTGTCTTTGCCAATGACCCTCACTCTTAATGACTCCAAGTACTGTAAAAAGTGTTTCAAAATCAGGATGTCTAAGTTGTAACCCTTAAGGTTCTTGAAATAGGATTTTGAGTTTGTCATAAATAATAATTATTGTCTTGAAAAGATATGATGATAGTTAAATTGCGGTAATCAGTAGAATAATCAATGTAAAACTCATTCAAATAAGGAATAAATATATAAAAATAGGTTACAAAAATATATTAAAATACATACTTATCAATGATTTAAACAAACATTATTCACCTGTGATTAACAAGTAATATACAAGAGATAAAAATATAAAAAAAGATACAAAAAAAAAGAACATAAACTTAGTGCATATCTAGTTATTGCATATTTAAGGTACCTATGTAGCAAAAGATTTAGACCATCCTAAAAGAAATTTTACTAATAAAAAAACAAAATATTAGATAAAATATACTTCGAATTTAAAAATAAGAAAAATAAATCGTTATAAATTAATTATCAATTTAATAAATAAATAAATATGTATTATCCTTTTTGGACAATCCATAGACCTTCTCGTGAATTTTCTACCATTACTTTGACCACGTCAAGAATTCTATCCTTAAGCATTAGCAATAATAACAACCACTATAATAGAACATTTATTTATTTTTTCCTTATGATCTTAATGCCCCAAGAACAACCACAACACCACTAGTTAGTAGAGTTGATAGACTTATTAAGAATTGTTTTTACAATCCCAACTCAACCTCTTTTGAGATTGAGACCTAAGTAGAGAAATTGTTACATATCTTATTCTAAGTACCACACTCTTACTTCCCTCAACTTGTAGAGACTTATTTGCAAGCTCGTCGCTCACATGGGCTTAACTTTCTCGTATTTTATCGTTATCATAGGCCTAAACTTATTATATTCATGAAAACTCAAAAATATTCAAAGCCTTTAAAATGAAATAGTTTCAAAATTTTTAATTTATCAATAGAGTATGTCACCACCCTTTTTTATAAAGGATCAATGACATCATACGTCACTACTTTTAGTATAGATTTATTTATGAGAATAAGATGTATAGCACAGAACATATGCTTTTCAGAAATCAAACTTTGACATCTCAGCAAAATAATAGTGCCCCAAGTGCATTTTCATACAACCTAAAAATTTTATAAGTATATGTATTTACAACAATTGTTTCGCATGAAGCTTAAAGTATAAATTTATAAATAATAATTACATTTCTTAAAAATTATAGCTAAACAGTTTAAACCTATCAAATAATTAAAGCTACTATTTTTCTAAAATACATGATGACTCTGACATTCCTCAACTAGACCTTCTAGAATGAGAAGTAGTTATGTCACTTGCCACGTCTATTCATGTACTACCGTATGGTCATTACACCACATACACCAGCACAAATAAATGCAAGAGTGAGCTTACATAACAAACAATTATATTCATAAACTTGATAGGAATGTAATATATATATACACATATATACACACACACAACTTAATCAAAATGCTCAACAAAATAATATAGCAATATCAGCCAATTAATGTAGCATGTTCAACCCATTCTTAGTCCATCCAATACATCAGTTTATTTTTCAGTTTGGGAGCAAGTCATCCATATATTTGGATTCAGACAAAACATAACTCGGCTCTAGAATGATGCAAGTCCACAAAAGGTAATACAACAATATATTAAGCATTTCAACACATCATTTCATAACACTTATCAATCAGTCTCAACAATACAACTATATATATATATATATATATATATATATATATTTTATTTTATTTTTCCACAACAAAACCCAGCATTTTAGCACTTATTACATATTTTCTCAACATGTTATGTTCTACCACAACATTTCAAACATTCATCTTAAACAAGGATCATTTCCTACCATTCACAGTACAACAAAGATTCCACTCAGTCAAATGTACTCTGAGTTCTACCCTAAGATTTGTTCATACGTTAATCATTCTAGCTAAAGCAAGATTATGAACAATATCCTAATACCCAAGTGAGTAATAAGAGCTCCCCTTACCTGAAATTAAATTTTCTCATATCTCACTCCATGTGAGTTTCAAAGAAAGAAGCAACGTCTATGAACTTAGGTCCCCTTACTATTACAAAAGAAAAAACTTTTGAGAAGGCTTTCTTTAAGGGGAAGAGGTGAGAAAATAGAGAGAAAATGAAAGAGAAAAAAATGAAAGTTTTCATCTCAAAATTCCCTTAAATACCCCTTAGA